AAATGCATGAAATCGCACATTTTCACCATTCCGGACCCAGATCTCAGTTATGCATGGACGAATTTTGTTCAAATATGGTGCATACATTAAAAATAATATGACCTTGATGCACGTCATTTTTTTTCAGATCAAGTTCATTTTGTTTTAAAGAATCAGTTCTCGATCCGTATCCGAGACATGTCTGGATTGATCAAGTTCAAACTTCACACACACATGGTACATCATGTAACAAATAGATATGTGCATTTGTTTCATGATCCGCTTAACAATAGCTGAATGATGGCCATTTTAAGGCCGAAAATGCATCAAAATCACATATTTTCACAATTCCAGAACTGGATCTCAGTCATGCATGGATGGATTTCGTTCAGATTTAGTACAATGTGTTGTACATATGCAGGTGCATTTTGGATCAGACAAAGTGGTCTGAGATTTCAGTCATGATCTGCTTTGAATGTACAAAATGTATATGTCACTCAAATATGAATGGAACGGGGACGTGTCATTGACAATGACTTGTTTATTCAGATTTTTCAGATCGGATTCAAAATGGCCGACCTGCGGCCATTTTGTTTAAATGGCTTCCAGAGCCATATCTCTGATATGCTTTGACTGATTATCTTCAAATTTTATATATTCGTTTCACATCATGTTTAATAGATATATAGATGACTGACCGGTGGCCATTTTGTTTTAATTAATGCTGTTCCAGAGCAATATGGACGATCAGATACAAGATGTCAATCATTTTAATGTTGAAAATCATCATAGTCAAGCATCATCTTCTGGATCCATACTTCTGACATGTTTATGTCAGAACTATATTACTATAAACAAAACTCTAAACCTTAAATTTTATAACTAACGGGAACTGTGCCATGTATGGCTTGTTTATTTATTAATTTTAATCCTATTTCTGTTGCAGGTGTAAAAATTGATTACATGGAGCTGATTGATATACATATACCGGCGGTTGTACTGAAAACATTTTTGAGAGAGTTACCGGAGCCCTTACTAACATTTAAATTATATGACAAGATCAGGCAAATTAATGGTAAGTACAACATAGGTTTAGTTTTTAATCACAAATTCTGAACATTTTAATCAGAAAAGCACAGAATATTAATGGAACTATTTTATTGGATGGTGCCTGAAGTTGACTTTGGCACTCATAGGTTAAACTAACAACTTGTCTATGGTATATATTAGCTGTGTTCAGACTTCTCTAGTACTGCTCAGTTAAAGTTTATCCATTATGTTTGCATATTGGCGAGACCCAGTTACATTCATACATAGGCAAGATCTAAAATTGAGTACAGACAAAAGCTTGACCAAACCTGTAAAGAATATACGTAACTTCAGCATTTTTAACTTTGATGTATTGTAGATAATGATCCAAAGTAAGTGATGGTAACTTCTATATTGTACTAGCCATCTAATTGGCTCCCTCTAAATATAGTAGAAATGAAATGATTGGTGCATGTACAAGCTGCTAAAAACATTATTGCAAGTGTAATTTGACGCCAGATATCAGCAATTCAGTTTCTCAAAGCAGCTATGGATTACTGACAATGATCTGTATTCATTTCATAGCAAGTTTCCTGTTGTAACCATTTCTCAACTTACACAAACTTGTTATTTTATTTTGTAGATATGGAGAGTACTGAACGAATTTCTCATTGTCAAACGATAGTTAGTGTTGACTTACAAGAAGACAACTACATTATTTTAAAATATTTGATTGAATTTCTTACAAAAGTGAGTACTTAATTTTGTAAACTATTTACAGTAGAACAAACCCTGTGCAGTTTAAACTGTCTCATCTAGATTGCTTGTCTGTGAGTTTAGGTTCTTATTACAACAACAGACTTCATGGTGTTCATAGAGTCGAAAACAAGAGCAGTGATGTATAGTGACGATAACACAAAATGTGAACAAGCATGTGCTTGTATAATTCTGACAAGTGTCGCCACACTGTAGAGACCAGATATGAAAAGCCTTTGATAAAATCCAATTAGGTGCACGACCAATGCAGTACATATTTTTTATTACTGCATATCCTTACTTGTGTGTGATTACCTACTCGCTATGCACCTATGTTGTAATTAATTTCTCTAAATACCGTACTTATAAGAGCCCATGTCGGGGCAAACGCCCACCCCCCACTTTTGACACAATAAAGAAGTTGAGGTCATATCCGGGCACAAGCCCATGGGGTTTTTTTCTACACAAAAAATAACAAAAAACTATTTTCTATTCGTTGACTGTGGTTGTATTTGACTTTCCTGAAGTCTGTCGTGATGCTTATAAAAATTCTTTAAATATAATTATTGTTAATTGCGTAAAAAACAAGGGGAGAACGCGAAATAGCTGTGACAGCAAAATACGCGTTCTGCCTTCAGCCCGTATAAGGAGAGCCGCTAAGCAAGTGTCGCACTTGTTCAGCTTTAGCGTCATCGACAATGAAACCAATGTTGCAATATTGTAGCAACCTGTACCTGGGTGAGTGGTTGAAATCACATTATTTTGGCTAAATATAAAATATTTGGTAGCAGCTTGTGAATCCATAACTGGGGCCAGCAATTTTGCAACGTCACGCTAAAGACTCTAGACTGCCAACTTTGTTACCATCTTTCATCACCGCTATTGCATTTCTGTCATAAAAACTATTCTTCTGTTGTTGGATAAAAAAAAATTCTATTTGACGCCCACCGCAATATCCATATAGTGAGACATTCCAACTGCCGGAACTTGCTGAATGATAACTTTCACCGTGATTGATAAGCGTTGAGTCTGATAAGAAAGCAATGTCACAATTTGACCTTTATGATGAAATATTAGTACTGATGTCTTTCTTAGCCAATCAGTAAAGCAGATGCATAAAGGTCAAAGATGATTGCCAGACTGTAAAGAAAAGCATCATGTGCCATCGCAGCAGAGCGACCCCATTTTTCTTGTCTCTTTATTGTGATTAGACATGAATGAAAAGCGCCAAATCTGTGGATTAAAAGTGCAAATTGTGTGGGACGATATCGACGAACTCCAGGAAGAAGTTGTAGGGATTTTGTTCGACGGCTACAGGGTTTTGATCTGAGACGTTTTTTCAAACAGCTATGAATATTTATAATTTTTACTATACAATACATTATTTTTGTTTTACTTCTAATGTTGCATATTGCTCATTTATTTCTGTTGCATGTTTTTATTTGCATTTCTATTCCCTGCCGCAGTTCGATCTGCGTGTTGTAAATTTTTGCGAATTTTCGTTTTTTTTGCCGGGGATATCCTGGCAAACGCCCAGCCCTATTTTTTGGCAATGTTCAAGACCCTGGGCTCATACCCGAATAAATACAGTAGTTTGAAAATGATTTTGTACCTTGTATGATTGATTCTATATACAGCTTTAATACTATACATGTATTTTCACAGGTGGTAGCTAACACTGCAAACAAGATGGACGCCATCAATCTCGCAATTGTATTTGGGCCTAACTTGGTATGGTCCACGGACACTGCTGCCTCGTTAACTGCTATGGCACAGATCAACACATTCACAAGAGCGTTAATAGAACACTACACCGATATATTTACAAGGGACATAGCAGTGCAGTAAAGAGTAACACAGCTATGCTGGTTTACTGTATGAAGGGTTTAATAGTAGTAACTGTAATGTCACAAGTGTCTATGAATGGATGAACTGCTACCTGTTTAGGTACTCTGTAAATACAAGGATATGATGCGGGATGGGAGAGTGCATATTTATTTAGTGTACATTGCATGGTATTTTAAACTTAACTGACACTTCTACGTGTAATAGTTAATAGATGGGTTTTTTTTCACTGCTGGATCTTGCGTATTGTGTGAGCAAACGTTTTCTTCAAAAAGCAAATGATTTTTTTATAACTTAAAAAAATGATGAAAAAAAAAATGTAATTTATGTTTTAATGGTAGCTAAACAAACTGCTTCTTGTATAGTGCAACTTCATCTTTTGAGCA